TGTGCTCTTCCGATCTAGAAATTTGACATTGTAAATTAGCGCCTTGAAATTAGGGTAAGAGAGACAGAGACTGCGGCGGCAGCGTGTCGGTTGGTCTGTGTTACCCAGAAAGCAGTTGGGCACAATATCGCAACACCAACACCGTGAGTGAAACAATGACTGGGGCAGCCTACTATATAAAGTACTCGGGGACCTCTTTATTATTACACATCCACATTTGTAGAGTACGGAACAAAGGGACGGGCGCAACCCTAACTGTAGCGTCTATTCTACGCGCCTTATAATGCGGTGCGCCTTATATATGAAAGAAAGTTTTAAAATAGGAGATTCATTGAGATTCATTCATTATAGTGCAGAAAATACAGCACTTCTATTTTTACAAAGACTTATTTGATTAAATTGTGCAAGCAATAAAAAAAGCAATGAAGATTTCATTGGCCTGAATGAGAAATTAAATGTTGCAAAATGCATGGAAGAACTCAAAAAAATTGAAATTTAAATGTAATGGTTATAAGAAACCTTCTTAAACAGTTCTGCTAATAGTCACATAGTGCAACCTAAAATAGGAGATATTAAATGTATAGTGAAAGGAGAGTATCCTGCTGTCTTAAAATATTTTAATCAGCATCAATTAATCCATTCTAGCTGATGCATATATGGATTCCACATGATTGATTATTCGTCTTCTACTCATTTCTCTATCGCTCAAGTCTGTCCATTGACTTCTTCCATTTTGTGGTCCTGATCTGTCTCATTATTAACAGCCCATCTTGCACTAATTGTACAAGCATTGCCAGTTGGTTTGCGGATGATGAATCGTGTCCTTCCAGGAGGAATGGCTCCCCGACCTTGCTCTTGGTTTTCTACCGACGTAGCTTCATTGCCTCTCTCGTCATGCTACAAAAGTTAGGAAGCAAAGAAGATGTTACGAAGAGATATGAGTGGTGAAAATAGCGAAGAAACTGGAGGAATGAACTTTAGAAACAGAGGAATCCTTACCATAAAGTATGTTTTGCTTTTGTCACTGAACTTTGAGTTCCAGTCTTCATTTTTTGTGTTTACTGCCATGTTCACTTGGTCGCTGTGCGAGCTGTTTCCCTGATGGCTGCCTTTGTTCCAGTTTCTTCTTTGGATTTGGATTTTCTGGAGTTAACAAAAAAAAAGATGAATTCTGGGCAAATGCTGAGGAACACCCACCCACTAGCCAGTTCAATAGGTACACCTTGTTAATCCCAGTTGAGCCTTTCCAATTATAATCTTAATAATGTGACTGGTGTAGACTCTTGAGTTTTTCCACTTGTTTTTTGGTATTGACATCTTTAAATCTGGTTACCATGGAGGCTGTGGGAGCAAAATATACCGATTTATGAATATAAACGAAACCATTTTAAGATAATTTGAGGCTTGTGGTGTGGATTATCCTGCTGTCTTCAGAAGATGGTTAGACTCCAGCCATAACAAGATTGATTTGCATTTGAATGATTCCCGAAATGTACCAAGACAATATCCTCCCATAGTATTATACCTTCACCACCATGCTTCGTGAATAACATACTTTCATGTTATTTACTATAAATTTCGATCATACACCAATTGTCGCATCTTTGAGAAAGCAATGTGAATTCTGTTACTGTCTGTTTTTTGTGAGCCTATGAAAATTGGAGTTCTATTTCCTGCTGTTAGCTGCCAGGAGTTGCAATGGTTGAGTTATTCTTCTGCTATTGCGTTTTGCAGCATACCTTGGTTGGTACAAGTGGCTAGTGGAACTTTTATTGCCTTCTTCTCTAGAATCAGTTGAACTCTTGAAATCAGCAATACATTTTCATCCATGCAACCATGATATTGTCTCTTTCCTATACCATTTCCTGTAACCTAAAGAGATTGCTATGCATGAAAATTCCTGGAGACCAGCAGGGCTTAAACCAGTCAATCTGACATCAAAAACCATAACCTGTTGTTGAGTTGTTCTTTGATTTACAAAGACATGAAATGGTTGTTATTGAGGGAATAATTGAAGCCATGCTGCTAAATAAACTCACAAATTCTTCTTGCGCTCGTGCTCCTTCCATTGTTCCCGGTGGTTCCCTCTGTCCAAGCCATGCCTTGCTAAAGATTTCATCTTTAGACTCTAAATTCCCATGCATTAATTCTTCATCATTCTGACAATTGGAGGATGAGGAAGAGGAGGATGAGCTGGAGCGAGACCGTTTCCTGACACTTTTTCTGCAGAAAGAAGTAAAACATCCACAAATTCATGAATTGTCATCTACATGACCCGAATTAAGCAACAAATCTAAAATACAAGGTAGCTGCACATACTTTGACATCTTGTGGTATTTTGAGCAATTTTCCTCTGATTTCTCTTGACCAAAATCTTGGGAATTTCCTGTAACTCTGTCATGCATGGAATATTTTTTACGACGCTCTATGTCCAAACGAAGATCCATCGGGTCACCCTTCAGTTTTTCCCCACCGTCCTGGGCAAATCAAAACAGAGAACAGAACGTCGTGGACAGACTTTGGATTAGCAAGATAATTGTTGTCTTTCTGTTGTCAGTCAATGGGTTGTGCACTAAATGGTGAGGAAAAGGGGGAGGCAGGAATACATCATTCACACACGGATAACCTGAATAAGACCAAGCCGCTTCAGAATGAAACTACCAACAAGTGCTGAGTCCAATCAGTAGGAGTATTTTAACAGCTTTTGACTTAGCATTTTCAATATATTGTGGAAATGAGCTGGAAAAGGGTCAAGATTTGTCTCCGATACACAGTCCATTACCTTTTCAAATCAACTTGTTTCTAGTCAAAGTTTTTTATGGTTTTATGAATTTTGAGCCATCAAACAGCACCAGTATATCCTCCACACTTCACTCGCCTTTCACGTTTCACTGTGCTTCTTGATGTTGATTGCCACATTCAAAGGGCTTTCAGAGCAAACTGTCTGGTAAATTTCCTGTTTCAAACAAACTTCACTTTATTTAAATTCGGTTGTTATACTAATACAATGAACTGACAACAATGCTTGTATGGAATGTGGGATTTAAATTTCAATGACTGGTTCCGCAGTGTTTCATAAGTCATTTGGCGGAATTAAGCATGAATCCAAATAAATACAACTCTGTTCAACATAGTAGTGATTAAGTTTGACCCAATTTATTCACAATAAGTCGGACTCTGTGGTTCTGTTTAATCCAATATAAATAATTCCAAGAAAACACTGTACACTTTATGCCAATTCAACCTATTTGATCCAATTAAATAAAGACCACACAATACTCTAGATGTTTACGCAAGCTTTAGAAAATCACACAGTGTAAATGCACAACTCATACAAAACCTGTTCAATTTGTTTTTTCCAACTATAATAGTTCGTGTTTACCCTAGCAATGTTTGCATTTCCCATTTGCAAGCTGACTCGATGTGTCAGAGCACATGGAAAAGGAAACTGTGATCAATCATGTGTGGAACCAAGTGCAGTTACATTAAGTGCTTACAGTACTTTGCAATAGTTACAACTACAAACTACAGTGTATTTTATTGTGACCAAACACAAATGAACACAAAATGGAAGTGGAAAGAAAAATGGCACATGCTTTAAAACCTGCTTTCACAAATAGTAAGCTGAAAAGTGTAGCGTACATCTGTATTCAGGAACCTTTATCCTTATATTCCTAAGATATAAGGGTGGCAGCATCATGCTGTTGAAGTGCCTTTTCTACAGCAGGAGCAGGGAAGCTGGTATTGTTGGAGAGATTTATGTAGCTATATGCAGGGGAATCTTTAAGGAAAACCAGTTAATCTGCAAAGTCTTGAGTAGGTAACCTACAATAACGCTAAAACAAAGCCAGAGCCAGGATGATATGGTTAATCCAAAAACATATTAGTTTTATAAGAGAGGTCTAGACCTTAATCTAATTTAAAATCCGTTGCAGGATCAATTGATGTTTAGACAGAAAATCTAAAATCTCTGGGTGTGCAAAGTTGTTAAAGATATATCCCAAAAACCAGCAGCTGTAATTGCATCTAAATGCTACATGCTTAGCAGGACAGATAAATGCATGAAACATTTTCACATTTGTACTTGTAAAAAGAAAAACAATTCCTATATCATTTTCATTCCACTTCACAATTATGCACTACTTTGTTTTGGTCATTCACATAAAAAACAAATAAAATGCATTGAAGGTTTGAAGTTACAATGTGAAAAATTGTGGAGAAGGTGAAAGGATATGAGTACTTTTGCAATACACTGTAATGCTGGTTATTTTAGTTTATCTTTTGTTATTGTTAATATTTTTTTCATTATTTTTTAGAGTATACTTACAAAGACATTTCTTAAGAGTCCCTTGGACAGGCTTTGGCACTTCCATTCCTGACCATATTGCTTTATTAGCCTCAGTCAAGCTTGTGACCACAATACAAACAAATCACCATGTGAGGTGATACAACAAACAAAAAGGCCAAAGTGCCTTTTTTTCATTTTTTTTAGACTTTGACCATCTCCCCTCATGGAAAGCCAGGGGCTTTAGGAGGGTGCAGTCTAAAGGCATCTGGCTTGCTCGCTTGTCTGCTGCAGTTTTTCCAACAAATGTCATACAGCAAAGTGTTCAGTCACCTTGTAAGTCCCATCCTCTGAGCTTTTCATCGCCTCGAAAAGCTGAGGGTGTTTCTTAAAAGCACTTGGTGAAACATCAATCCGCCTGTGGGAAAGAATCACAGTTAAGGCCAAAAAAACAAGATTGCATGTGGTCGACACTTGAATAGCCACCAAATAAACAGCGAGTTATGCTGGACCAAGAAAGCAACATAAAGTGAAATAAAGAGAAAAAGAACCGTCAGAAAACAAAACTGACCTCCACCAAATATGAGAACAAAAAAAGAAAAAAAAATCCATGAAAGTCTGTTGATTATCAGATAGGAAAGGTGAAAGAAATACCTGACAGCTGTTAAAAGAGGACGTGAAGCCACAGCACACTGAAGGTGAGAGGGTCACTCAATAGGCGACTCTACCTGTGTATCTCTGGGCTTTTTCTTGGCTTCATCATTTCCTTCTCTGCTGCTTGCCTTTGGTACAAGGTGAATCGCTCGTTTAGAGTCATGCCAGAAGACGGAAAGTGCTGGGCTGAGAGGGTAAAGGTTCAAACAGAAGAGGCTATGGATATTTATTTCAATTCACTTCTCATACAGTGCCAGTTCATTCTTGTCAATGATTTCTTGATTGACAAGAAATCAAGAAAGTTGATTTCTTGTCAATCAACTTTCTTGATTTCTTGATTGACAAGAAAGTTCAATCAAAATAAACCCAATTCATTGGAGTCTATGTCCAATCACATAGACTCCAATTACATGCCTTTCAACCCAATCCATTATGGCTGTATGGGTTTATAAAGTTGTGATGGGTAATGCAGCTTGTACTGTGTGTCCAGAGAAGTTTCCTAAGTAGATTTCTCAACAAAGACCATTGCTGTTGTTTTATGTTCCTTTTAAGTATGCTACATTATTCTGATCTCATTGCTGCTTCATCATGTTCTGAACTTCAATGACTCAAGTAAAATTCTGAAAGAAACAGAGCCCATCTATTTTTATTACTTCAAAATTCGTACCAGTTGGAGAAACTGGGATAAAACATAGAGCAGACATGTGACTCACCCTTGATGTGGTGAACAATGGTGACAATGTGCTGAGCAAACAGCTCAGATGGGCTTCTCTGTGACTGAGTAGCCTGAACGTGTTGAAAGATGGAGCGAAACTCCTGATGCTTTTTCGATGACTGCACCAAGTCCTGAGACAACTGCCTCTCTTCAGCTAAAATATCTGAAGAGCTGAAATGACAACAGCGCAGTCAATCAGTGCTGTTCTCTACGACAAGGCAGCCTTTCTGTACAGGAACTGTGAGTAAAACTTAAATACAAAAAAGAAATCTATAAGTAATTCAAAATGCAAATGAAAACATTTTCAATGTTTAATTTCAAATGATTATGATTATAGAGGTTTGTGAAGTTACTGTGTACAAAAAAACTCCCCAAAGAATACTGACCTTTCAGAATGCCATCACTTTCGCGATATGCATAAGTATATTTATTAAAAGTCTTTCTTATATTTAGTAATTATTCATAACATTATGACCATCTACCAAACCATGAGCTAGTTCCCAGGCTGTTGCTAAAACACTCGTGACTCATTAGGGTATGGGCTCTACTAAATCCCTGAACGTGGCCTGACATCAATATATTAATAGCAGATCCTTTAAGTCCACTGCAGACCAGGAACAGCACAAGAGCTGCACTTTTTGCACTGCTCTGATCCGATCATCTAGCCTTCACAATTTGACCCTTGGAACACCCATTCAAAACCATATCCATTTCCATTTTTTCCTACTTTTGACACATCGAGTTGGCAACAAAGTGTTCACTAATTGCCACTCAGTAATAGGTGCCACGAGGAGACAGTCATTTTCACTTCCCCTGCCAGAGGTCATAATGTTAGGCCTACACAATTTATTTGCATGAGATAGTTACAACAACTACAACAACCACAACCCTTTTACCGAACTGGCTTACCTGCAGTTCACGTCTCTGACTGAAACCATTTAAATTTCAAACCATGGCAAAGAGACCAGTTGTTCAGAGAGCATAAATATTCATCAGTCAAACACATAATACTTGAACCTGTTTATGGACACTCACCTTATAGTGTCATCTCTTAGAAAATCCATTCTTACATTGCACTTTGGTTCCTGTTTTCTTAACATAAGAGGCTTGTCTTCTCCTCTGACCATAAACAACTCTCTGTCAGAATTTTGCCTCAGTGGTGTTTCAGGACACTGAAAAGAGGGAGATTTGGCTGTCTTCCTTATGTTAAAGCTTATTTCTGAAGACAGGTCCTTGAAATCTCCTGCTGACTCCCTTTTACCAAGTGCAGCAGAGGCTTCTGATTTATCCAGTTTTCCACTGAGATACATCTCCCTTACCATGGCATCGACCTCTGTTTGCCCAAACTGTGCACAAGCTGGATTTTGCCACTTTTTGAAGAGTTTTTGGGCTGAATGAGAGGCCTTGCTCTTTGGCTTTGAAGCCTCATCTCCATTTTGCCACTCTTTCTGGAGTGACTTTAAAGGTGGCCTGATTATCATCTCATCATCCTCGTCTTCCAACTCAGCAGACAAAAATGGGGAGGCCTTCAAAAAGTTTCTCAGTGACATTTCCCTGTCAGTGTCCTCCTTGCGTTGTTTTGGGAAAGTGTCAGAGGTAACTACTGAAGCTTTCCCATTCGATTTTCCTTTTTCATTATCTGCATCACTGGCTTCTTTGATTTTGCCATTTTCCCAAGCAGATTTAGCTTTTTTGGTGTGCTCCTCCAAAAACCTACGGAATAGAAGAGATAAAAAGTTGCATGAAAGAAAAACTCAATTAAATTAGTAGAAAAGTATGTATTTGATCTATGGAACAAAACCAGGTTAAATGAAACATGTGAATGCTTAAACCTCATCAAACATTGATGCAATCTGTTGCAAGTTTGAAGACGGAACAAAATAAATTTGTGAGATTACGCAGAAAACTTAAAGATAAGCCTTACTTCTTAAAAGCAATGGAGAGGGCCGTTTTATCTCCATCCAGGTATTCCTCAGTGCTGAAGAAGTCAAAGCTGGGAAGCATGGGATTGAGACCTTCATTAGAGGCCTTTCTGACTGAGGAGGAACCTGATGCCACCTCCATCATAGGAGAGCCATTCCTGGTGTCACTTGTGATTTTGATGGGACTTGGCTGATTAACAGTTTGGTTGCTTTGGCCAACATTAGCTTCAGTGTTGACAAGGGGACTGCTTTTCTTTGGACTACTGCAGTCTGACAGGCTGTGCCAGGTCCTCTCAGCTTTCCCACCGCCTGCACCTTCTCTAGCATCTCCTGCCAATAACCCAACATGCTCCAGTGGCTCGTCATCTCCCCCTCCTCCTTTTTGGACTTCCTTGGAAGCCAGATGCTTCTCCTTGACATCTTTGGTGTTTTGATTATTCAGCAGCGAGGCCGCCCTGCGTTTCGGAGAGGAGGAGTGTGACGAGGAAGAAGAATGATGCGAGTGTCTGGACAAGGGAGAGGACGATCTGTCAGATTGTTGAGTGTGACCCTGAGGGGGACTTCCTGAGCGTTTTTGCACATTGTGTGATCGCCCTCTTGAATGATTAAACTGCTGTTGCTGCTGCTGTTGATAATGCTGCTGTTTTTGAGGGTACTGCTTGAAATTTTTCCAGTTCGGACGAAAGTTATTGTTGTTGTAGCCACCACCCCCACGGTGGTAGCGTCCACGGTTAAAGTGGCCCCTTCCTCGACCCCTAAAATTGTAGGGCCTCCGAAAGCCACGGTGATACCCTCTGAACTCTCTGCTGTTCTGGTACGCCCTTGGATATTTCTTCTCCCGGTTGTGAAATGGAGAATGAGATCTTGACCGAGACCTAGAGCTATGAAGAAGCATAGAGAAAAGACAGCATGTGGTAATTTTAAAAAAGCTATAAATAGAAACTCATAATAACGATTTTGAACTCTTTGACTAAACATATCGGACAGATGGGTATGCTGGGAGTATTTTCCCAGATAGATTTGGGTCCAATTATAACAGTTGTTAAGAAAAACAGCTGCTCTGTTGATCGGAATGAACCAGCACTCTTTAAAAAACAAGAATTTCTGTCATGCTGTTCCCAAGTTTTATTGTCATGTAAATTGCCATATGAGTTGACAAGCTCAATTGGCAAAAGTTATGTGTATCATAAATTAGCATAGCACTGCCCATACCCTACATATTGCTATGCGCTCCTGATCAGATGGATGAAAAAGAAAAAGAAAAAAAACTGTACTTTTCCACAACCTACACAAAATACATATTTTGAAAATTCTTCTGTCCCAAAATTAACAGTCATGGTGCTGAAACGAATGGGGTGCAACAAATCAATCTTATTAAGGAAATGCCATTGCTAAGCCAAAACTGGTAAGCAACACTCCAAAAATGCTAAATATTATCAAGTATTTATCTTGGTACACATGAAATATGAAAAAAACTGTCAGCAAGATAGCAGCTTATTTTGGGTCAATAATTATTGAATAGCAATAAAAAGTACTGGTTCCATTGGCATTTTTTTTTCTTATAACATTGAATTTATTGTTTTCTGTATTTTTGAACTTGTTTCGAAGATGGCATCTTTTGCAGTGCTGCAAAAAATAGGCATATTCTCCTATTTAGCAGAAGAGAATATGCAGGCTGCAGGCTTTGATGGCCTGACTAATTAACAACCCATCTAATCTAAGGTCTATCTATAGAGCTTTTCTAGTCATTACTGACCGCTCAAAGTGCTCTACAAGGACCACTCACAAACATCCACACATTTATACACTGATATGTGGATTGGTAATCAACTTGTGGTTAAGAGCCTTCCCAGCGGCTCAGATTGCAAAACCCTCTTCTTATTGAACGACAGTCACCTGTAATGTAACTGAATGATCTTATGTAATGGGCATCACATTTTTGAGTGTGCAAAGAGTCAGCTAAGATCTGTAAATTCAGATTATTGACAGAGCACCAGTTCCTAACAGTTATTATCATAAAAAGGATATCTGGTTAGTGAGGTTTTATCTTTCTGAATTCCTCTCTACCAAGACCTGGGTGTGATGCAAACAGACGTGTTGCAGCTCTGACATGTTGGGGTGTTTTTCAGAAATCGTTTTTATTTTACCATAAACATTCCATTCTTAAGGTAGGTAAAGTTTACGTTTGCCTGAAGAGTGGAAAAATAGATACTTTTTATTTATAGTTCTTACAGAAATCCAAATTAACAAATTATGCAGGGCTTTATTTTTATAAATTGGACACTGCTGACCAACACATCTGTACTCTTAAGAACAACAGCTTTGACATAAAATGAGTAAAACCAGTCAAATAGCAGCTTTAACAGGCTCAAGATGTTTATCGTTGGCATGAAAACATAAACACCTTTCCTAAAACCTTAAACTGCAGGATGTGCTTAAAATTTGTTGTGTCTACGTGCTGTGTGTCAGCTAAAAGTGACAAAACATATGTTGGTACGTAACATCTGTGTTTTCATGTTGAGAGAGGGTCCAATAAGAGAGAGAGCCAGAATTCCTCTGCCAAACCTGGCATGTCCACAAGGGGGCTCTGCTGCATTTCCAAATGTGCAGCACACAAACCTGAGGCTTTACCACAGTCTTGGAGTTATGTTTCTATACCTTTCTTGATATCCTAAAGCAATCATTTCATGCAAAAATATGCTTTCTTGAGATGAAACAACTGTTTTACTCTATATCCACAACTTTCTAGCTATATCTTTTAGACTACGAAAGTTGCACATTTTAGACGGCAGTTTTCTTGAGCGACTCAGAGATTTAATCAGCAGAATTGTTTTGTAACCTTTTTATGCTGCTAGAGTTGGAAGTGACAGCCAAGTATTCAATGCTAAAAGGGTTATAAGTAAAACCTTACTGAAATTCATCTAAGTCCAAATAAACGTGCATGCAAGGTACAGTAGAGCACAATGTCAAAATGGATAGGGAAAACAGATCCACAGAACATGCAAATACATTCTGAATCCATATAATCTGTAAAAGCATATAACTCACCTTGCATGTTTTGTCATTGCAATAGAGAGCGAAAGAGAGACGGCAGCACTCTGAGCAGTACTGCACACTTTACAAGCTACAGATACTCTGGACAGCTGTGGTGGAGCACAAGCAGAGTCACATGGACCGTATAAAGGCAGAAAAAAAAAAAAGAAAAAAAAAACTACTTGAATCCTTGTTTGACTCTATGTGTGCCACTCACAGACTCCTCAAGTTTTAAAATGTTATTAAGAAAGACGTTTTCTGGATCTTAATGCTTCAAGTTAGTGACCCCCTTACTTGGTCGCTGACTGAAGTGATGGTGTTTAGTATATAAAATTATTAGAGGTAAGAGTTCATAGTTGAGAGCCTTTTGCCAACTTTCACAGCTTGTGAAAATATTTCCAGCACACATTTTCTTTTCCACACAAAACCTTCTAGTTTAGATGTTTTTTTGAATCTGTGTTTTTTTTTTTGTTTTTTTTAGGTTGACTTGTGGAATATATGCAGTAAAACAATGCGAGAAAAATGTCTCCGCGTTTTAATGGAAATACACAGTTTATACATATGCAAAGATATTCCGAAAGAATGTTTGTTTACATATGTATTAGACTTAACTCTGTAAATATATAAATTCATCCATCCATTTTCAGTTCCTGTTTGTTAAAGCTTATTTGCACATATGTTACGGTGGTTTGAGGTAGAATAAAGCATGAGATTCCTTCCATGTCTCTTCTTTAGGCTAATTTTAATACAAGCTGTGGCGCTTCCAGGAAATTAGCAACCCTGCCTTTTTATTGCAGTGCCACAGTCATTCTGCCAGAAACAGCAAATGCATCAGTGAAGGTTCACAGCTTCTTCCAGGCACACACAGCTCACCCTCATGACTGGGCTTTACTGCTTTCTCTGCTCGGGGAGCACAGACAAACACTGGCTTTTAAATTTAAAGCTTTGACAAATATTGAGATTATTCCATCAGTTTCAGTAACTTCCAGATGATTTTCAAAGTCATGCCAGTGCAGCTGGGCCTGACTAAGGTCTTCTATCAGCAGCTAGACTCCATCTTAAACATTAATTTCCTCTTGCTCTGATTGGAGTCGTGCTCTGAAAATACTCTAAGAAAGTCGGGTCTTGCATGAAAGAAATTCAATAAACGGATAACAAGAAAAGCTACTAATTCAAATAATTTTGCCATCATTACATAAAATGCAACAGAATATAAAACTTTAAGCACATAAAAGGTAAAGAAGGCATCAGGAAATTTGCCTTCTTGTGATTCTTTTTCTTAAAATTACAGTTAAATCAGTGCATTCTTTGTTCATGTATTTAAATGTAACTGTTGTTCTTCACCAGGTCTTAATATGTTAAAGTCAATAGCGTGCCAGCACATTCAACAATCACGAAAAAAAAAAAAAAAAGCATATGACCTTCACCACAAACACAAGAGTGACCTTTCATACCTGTACCGGTGCTTCCTGGACCGGGAACGACTTCTGGACTGGGATGACGAACGGGACCTTGATCGGGACCTCGAACGGCTACGAGATCTCGACATGGATCTTGTCGACCTGGACATCGCTGTGCTCAAGCTGTCACACAGAAGGATGGTGGGGAAATCAGGACACTCATTAAATAAAATATCTGTAAAGTTAATTAAAAAGGCCTCTTCACATCTGAAGTTGCAGCAAAAAGAAAATAAAGCATTTCTGAAGATTAAGTTCCTTAAACAAAGCTTCCAATCATCCAGGTTGCATGTAAAAAGCATGATCTGAAGTCCATGTTGAGCAGCTGTGATAAAGGAAGAAGGCAGTATGTTGAGCAGATCGAACAGAGGCGGTTTTATTTAGTTGCTGATCATTTGCATAGAGGGCTGTCTCCTGTCAGTCATCTGACTCCTTACATTATTAGTCTACAAAACTTGGACAACATGCTGCATGGATTTTGCATCATTTACATTCATTTAATGTTTATATATGTGAATTAGATCTCTCTAGCCTGCCCACTTGCATTGACACTGTAAATTTCCCATTTCTAAAATACTGCTTCAAAAGTATAAAATAATAGAAATATATCTTTGTGTCCCACAGTGGGAAGATTCTGGTGTAACAGCTGCAAAGTGACACCACATCAAGACATGTAGGTTCACACCAAAAAAAAAAAAAAAAGCATTAAAATATATAAACAAAATTGAGAAAAATGCACTGTACAAATTTACAACATAAAAAAACAGTGCAATTATGAGAAATAACATACACAGATCCAAGGAACAATAAACTGAGTAGGATCATCTTTTTAAGTACATAATGTGTATTTGTGCATTAAAAACACCAGACTACTTACAATTTATTAAAATAAAAAGAGTATTCAACAGAGATGTGCAAATACCAGCAGGAATGCTATTAAAAATAAGTACATTTAAGTGCAAATAACCAGTTTAGTTCTTCAGCAGTGAAAGGTAAATGTTTACAGATGTGGTAAGCCGTTTTGCACAGATGTATGAAAGGAAGTAATGAAAATTCCTGTACATTTTAAATGTCAAAGAGACAGTTTACAGAATGAGGATGAAAAGGGCTAATCTGGTGGTTTGTTTAGCTCATCAGATTAGGTTAAAGCTTTACTGTTAAACTCATGTCTGACAAGGTCACAGGTAAATGTTTAACAGTCCCTTCATCACACCAGTGGACAAGAATTATTTGGTAATGCCAAGTGGTTTCCTGTACGTTAATAATCTGTTATTTAGATACCAGAGAGCAGTTTTCCTGAACTTGCATGATCTAAGCAAACAGGTCTGTACAAACTTTTAACTGCAACGTTTTATCTTGTAGCTTCCCTTTATGACCCCAAAACCGTACTTTAGTACAGTACGGCTTTGTATTTCTTGCCAATGTCCATGGGGCATTTTATGTTAGGAACAATTGAGAGTACATGCAAGCCAGGGATCAAATAATTGATCTCTTCTTATTAGAGCCATCTTCAGGGATTTTGGAGGGAGGATATTGCAGAATACACGTGACAGGGAATTTAAGCACATCACACACAATTGCATGGTGGTCCTGCTGTGCATTCTTGTTACTACTTAGGTAAAGAACTGAAATTGTTCTGTTGTCTCCTGCCTCCAGCTCGTGCTCAGTGAACTTTCCACTCCTGTTGTACGTTGAGGTTTGTTGTTTTTGGCTCTAGAAGAGCAATTTCCTGCAGAAGAGCCTCAACAGACCATTTCTTTAGCCAACTGCAGAATTCAAGACAAGCGGTCAGATGTGGCCCTTTGCATTATGAATGGCGAATTTCCTAATTTATGCATTTCTATCTGACAAAGAGGTACATCAGCATTTTATCTTTTATGTACTCCTGTGCATATAATTGTTTTAGGAGGGTCATCATCATTTAGTCTGTTTTATGCAATTTCACCCTTTGCTTTCACCCCTTTTTATACCATTTATATGCCACCAATCAAAAAGTGCTCTCATAAACAAATAGACATGAACAATCTGCCCTGTCCTAGATTATGAAACACTTTAGAGTCTAAGGGAAACGTCACATTTATTTATCTGTACATCTTTAATTCTGTCAGACTGAGCCTTGCCATGCGTTTGGAAAATGTAATGAAACAATTCAACAATATCTTATTTTGTGCCATTCAGAACCAAGTATTTCTTCACACTACAGAATCATATGCAAATCAAACCAATTTCAACATTAGATAAACATGAATAAATAGGGAATCCAATTTTCAAATGATTAATTGGTCAATAGAAAAAAAAAGGATACCAGACCTTATGCGGAAAAAGCATTTTAACTGGTTGTGGCACCTTTAGATATGTCATCTGTTATTAAACATTACTATCACTACCAATTGTTTATCAATCTAGAAACATGTTGCTGCACTCTTCTTTGAAGAATGTCTCTAATTCAGCCAGAGTGAAGAATGTCAAAGCTTGAATGACCTGTTTAACAAATGTATGTCCATCCTTTCACCAGGCAAGTCCAGGCATTTAGAAATGGACTTGCTAGTGCGTTTTGGATCATATGTCTAGCAGCATAACCTAAATTTGGTTTTGGTTATGGTCACAAACAGATGAGGAAATTATTCTTCATGTTTGATTCAGAGGAAGAGAATTCATGCAAATTCATCGAGGTTATGAAGCAAATGAACTGGTGAGAATCACAATACCACCACCAGATTTGACTGTTGGCTTTATAAACTTTTTCTGAAATTTACTTTACCCCCGATGCGAAGTGGGACACAACTTCTAAAAGTTTTCAGTTTGTCTTTTAACAAACCAATTTATTTTTCAAAATTATTTGAAGAGTGATAAAGATGTGTTTTGGTAAATGTGAAAGGGGCAATTGTGCTTTTTTTTGCTTGCGGTGATTCTTGTCTAAGAAGTTGCCAATGGATGATATTTTTAATGGGATCTTAATCTGAATTTAAAATATTTTTGGTGTGAAACATTTTAAATGCTACAAAATATTAAAGCACAAGAAAACTGTACGACTGTGGGTTTGTTTTCACTGCACTATGGATAGATATATTGTGCAACATCACTACAATCCCCTCTTGTAAAAACAACATACACTAATTAGGTCCAGTATAAATCTTACTAGTTCATTGCAAATAATTTATGTTCTACCTGAGAAACTCAGTTATATCTTCAGGAAATTTGTCTCTCTTATATTAAATACAAGATCATTTAGGCTACAGGAACTGCATGTCCAAGTACTGAAGAAGCAGCAAGCTAGCAGGCATGTTAGGATGCACATAATGTGGTGTGATTAGAGATGGAAGCCGGTTGATGGAGGTGCTAACCAGGTGAGGCAAGGAGAAGGATTATGAAACTGCTGCAATTTTGTTAATTGAAAAAAAAACTTTTAAAAATATTCCTTGTCCAAACTCATCAACATTTTAGACTCTGTGAAGCATCACTTTTAAACTGCAGTAAATCATCCAGTGTGTTGGCTGGCTGAAGTATTTTTATAGGGATGTAAAGATAAAATCCCAGGTTTTACCTCTGGGTACTGATCAAGTCCCTTTAGGAAGGATAGAACCAGAGTCCAAGCAATAATAATAATAATAATAATAATAATAATAATAATAATAAACACAATGTCAAGTTGCTGCTGCTATTTAACTGAAGTCAAGGCCAATTTCATGTTAGACAGATTACAAACTGCAATACAAGTCATGGTCATAATTATTGTTCTTACAAATTTGGGTTTCCCCTGATAACTTGGATATATTTTCACTTTATTTTCCAAAGTTCACAATTAAAAAGAGACTGTATTGACTGCTGAAACTCAAGAGCTAAATCTGATTCTTAAACTGATCTGCGTACTAACAGTCAGCATAGAACAGAGCTGTAGAAGCTTTTGAATTTCTTTCAGGTACCATAAGCAAACTAATCCACTTGTACAACTTTTATAAACTAACATAACCATTTTCTCACTTGTCAACTCTATTTAATTGTGTGGAAGCTTGATCAACTTCTTCATGCAAATTGAAGCATTAGTAACATGTTTCAAGACTGTCAGTCGGTGTTTCAGTCTGACTGCTCCATTGACATCAGGCAGCAGCAGCAGCCTTGGTGCACCTCCCTGTGTGGTCGGGAGCCTGGTCACTGAGATTTTAGGCTGTGGAGAGCTTGGGTCTTTCATCACTCAACACTTTATTTTCAGACACCAATAAGCACACTGACATAGAATTACTTAAGTTATTTGTATTATATGCCGGGAAGCATTCACTGAGTATCATTTTTTTAATTTAAGGACATATTTTTTCCCATATCCAAACCCAGATCGTATCATAATGCTGTCCCTTTCCCAGTATCATTTGTTTCTCTGAAGAAAAAGCACAAGTGGAATTTGACTGTCAAGTTCTTAATCAGGTGTTTTTTTTTTTCTTTCTAAATATATCATTAATACTGTAAAAAAAAAACATAGAAGGAAGATACAGCCACATGCAAATGCAAAACAGGAACAAATAACTTCACAGGAACAAGGTGTGAAACTAGAAAAGCAGGTCTAAAACACAGAGTGGCTAGTTAAGCAATGAGCAATCAGGGATGTCATATCTGAAGCAAAGTCAAACAGAGCTGTTTTCTGCAAGATACACTAACACATATTCACACAGTTAATTAGGACTCCCCTCAGAGAAGACAAGAACAGCTGTGTAATCCCCATCAGCTGTTGATTTCGTGTAAGGGCAAAAACAGCTCTGATCAACAATGACACTGCAACCCGATAGGCCTCACAGAGCGTTTGAGGAGAAACGCTCCTCTCAATCAGCCGACCTATCATTAAGACCAGGATGCCAAAGTGGCAGCTGGAATCACATTTGCTATCTATATGTGCTCCTGAGACACCCTGCCCGCTATTTCAGAAAAGCCACAGCAACTGTCACTGGCACAATGTTTAGCTGTTGAAATGTAGCAGACTCTCTTTGTATTCCCTGAAGACACCTCAGTACATGCTGGAGCTGTTAATAAATAACAAAGCCACTGGCAGTATTGGATGTGGCACAATATCATTCCCTTGGCTGGAAATTAATGATATTCTGAGAACAGCTGACATCCTCTTTTCTTCAGGGAGTTACAGTAGCTTCAAGATAGACAACTGGGAGATCAACAGGAGTGTCACTCAAAGAAAAAAAGGAAAAAAAAAGAAGTCAGAATCTTTCTTTTCCTCAGCAACATTCAGATTGCAGTGAGACAAGCGGATCTTTTACAATCTATTTTCACTTTTATGACAATAATCAAGAGTTACCTGCTGCTACATAGTTTTTTTAAAGCTCTTGTGAGTGTAACAGAGGCATTCTTACACTGACATACCCCTAAGCTGTCTGTCAGCACCACATTTGCAGACCTCTTCTGCACAGAAGGTGGAGCTCATCGGCTGAAGGTCCAATCTATTTTGGTCTGCGAGGAACAGTCTGTCAAATTTATGACTTCTATATGTTTCTAAGGCACACTCAGTTGTTTGCTTTCATGTGGCCTGGTGTCTTTGCTTAATGCCAGATACACATCATAGTTGTTTGCGGTTGTTTAGGAGAGGGATAATTGGAGCATTTAACCAAATTCTTTCACCACACAGTAGATAACCTGTTCTGTTAAGAAAGGCCTGCAACTATAAATTTAAAAAAAGAAAAGGGGATGTAATTATGTTCTCTAAAATAGCTGTTTGCATCAGTCATTTCCTACAAGATACTAATATAAAGTTCTCTCTGAGGTCTTTGGTTAATTTTATTTTATTTTTTTAATCAAAGACAACACATAAAAGAGGAGAAAAAGCATGCATGTATTTTTTCAAAAATGGCAAGAGAGCCTTTTACTGACTGATACCAATTTGTAGTTTTCTATTTAAGGATGGTATCAAAATTGCAACATCTTGCTAAAATCCAATATGTTGCTCAAGAAAAAAATTCCAACCTCCAATGAATTCACTGGTACATTGTTAAAGAATAGCACAAATATGGTGAATACCATAGTAGTAATACTCCTACCAGTTTCCCTTTCAAGCTGAAATATTACATATGTGCTTCCAAAGTACATACTTGGGGGGGGGGGACTTAAATGAGTTGTGCCTTTTCAATGAGCCAGGCACACCCTTCTATAGTGCCTCTGTGTGTACTTTTTGTGCAGATGATGTTTACCAAAGAGGATCAACCTCAAGACCATATCCTGCTGCCTAAGGATGAGTAAAGCTTTCAAATGTTTTCCTCCCCGTGTCCAGCCTGGACACGGGGAAACCCAAGATGAGCATTTTATGCACTTTTTGGCTGGCTTGGTTAAGGATTTAAGCTGTTCACTGAAGGGGGAGGAAAAACTTATTGAAGCCTGTAATCACAACATTCTTCACTGGGCTAACCACCAAGAACAGCAGCCGTGTAACTTGTTAAAATAAACAGCCCATTTTCTTGAAGCTCTCAACTGCATCCTCAAGTGATCAAGCTGTGGAAACTGCTGAATGAATCGTATTAGGGGGCATGCCAAAACCTATAAATGGTTAAAAAATGCCTCAAAAATTCTTCTTTGGTGTCCAGGGAGGCTAATTATTGCCACAACACCTTGTCATAACGTGTACTTAAATGAACACACTCTGCTTTGGTAGATTCAACATTTTGTTGTTTCAGTTGTCCCAAAAATCTAACATCAAAAATAAACTGACAAAAATGCATCAAGTGACTCCCTTGCACGAATAATAAAAATATAACGCGATATCCATTTTTTTAAAAGTAAAGCCTATTATTTAATAATACATAATATTTTCACTTTCGTTAAGGAATGAAAAGAAAATACCACGTACCGGTCGGCGTTTTATCGGTCTGCACTCGCCGCCTCACATTCAGTCCTCGTGGTGGAAATGGTAGACTGGTGGAAATGTGTGAAAAGCCAGTTTCTTTCTGTCTCTGGGCGAGTTTGTGCTCCTGAAACCAACTTCTCAGTGTGTCTGACTCGGCTGAGGTCTGCGGTGCTCAAAGAAAAAAGGGGGTGTGACAGTGACAGCTCCTTGCTGCTCGTAGGTTCGTGTTTCCTTCCGCCTTACCCGCGCTCTCCCTACGTCTGACCGCCTTTCACTGGCGTGGCGCAGACAGCACAGCGTGCACGAGCGTAAGCCACGAGCTCGCAATAGATCAGTCCTTTTAAATAAGACAACAAAAGTAACTCAGAAAACCACTGAAAGAGTGTAGGCAATTCAATATGAAAAGAGAGACTGAATAAATAGGTTTATTACACACTTGAAATGCCTCAAGCTTTTACTTAGGTTCATTTTTATCGTTCTGTGTGACAGCTGTTGAAGACCCAAAACTCAGGTTCCCAGATGAATATTAAATAAGACTGATATGAAAAATGATTCTGAATACAAAGAAGTCATGCTATGACTATCACAATAGAGAAAGCTGGTGACTTTACAGTGTCCATAAGTCACCGAGACACTTCACATGGTAAGGCTGTTAAATAAGCAGGGTGTGCATAATGTTGTATCCCCATACATTTGTTTGAAAATTGAGTGAGTGAGGGAGTCAGTCAGTCACTGCATTGAGTCAGCGCTTCAATAAAACCATAAAATACTTTTAAATAAATATACAATGACTGTTCCATCCATTCGTTTTATATACCGGTATGGAGAAAGGCGGTCAAGAGGTCATTGGGCAAGAGGTGGAGTACACCCTGAACTGATCAGATTGTATGTTTTCATTAAAAATAGGAACGCAAATTCTGCATTTAAGATTGAGGCGGAAAGCCAAAAAATTAAGATGCTAGAGATAGGTATTGTAATGTTGCTATAAACAGCTATGATTTTGGGTAGCCTCTCCATCTTTGTCCTCTGAGTTTTATTAAATCCAAAATAGGTCTACTAAGAAATCTGAGAGCTCTGCATGCTTATTTCCTTTTCCAGTTGGACTTAGCACCTGTCTACACTGCCAGTAGTACCAATTCCATGGTTCATAACCATGGTATCATTGTGCTTGACTGGACAGTAAACTATAAACTGTAGAGTGTCATCAAGAGAAAGATGAGACAGAAGACCCGACAAGGCAGAGGGTTCAAGACTGCAGTTAGCAATCTGGGCTCCTTTAACATTTCAACAGTACCACAGAAGTAACACCATGCAGAGATGCAGTAAAATTAGTAAGAACAGAAGCTGAGCTGATGTGAGCCCAGCTAAAGGAGGTACCCAGAGCCACACTGCTGGTTGCATGTAGTTGTGGCCCTTTGCTTCATAAGCAGCTGAATGGAGAAACTACTATAAGTTGAAGCACCAAACCATTAATTTTACTGGAATGTTGTAAAATTTGCAACAAAGATTTCTGAACTTTTGACAAAAATGAATTATCATTGAAAATGTCTACATGTTGTATAGTTTTCAAATGCGTCTTCCATTATACTTTCTACAATTCTGTCATTCTTGAAAATAAATGACCAGAATGAAAATAACTGTAAAAACTGTCAAAGGGCAATGAGATTCTGTTTGGAAAGCTAAATTCCAGCACTGCCACAGAAACTAATGTTCACACAGCAAAAATTTCAATTTATAAAATGAAGCTTAAAATACTGAGACAAAATTGACATGTATCTGGAGTCATAAACTCTCTCCTTATTTTGGTTCAAACATGGCGAAAACAGCTGAAGCTAATTATTTAACACGCAGAAAGATTGACTGGAGAGAACTGACCATTAGCCATTGTCGCTTCATGGTCTGGCTGTTAACTTCCATGCAGCTTATGCATGTTCTTCTATTTTTGTAGGACCATTACAATATGTTTTACCCGTTTATAATTATTTAGGAAAGACTATTCCCTTTTCTGCTTAGATGTGACGTGAACAGTAGATAGAATATAGCAAACTTATTTGAATGGCCAAGCTGGACAGTTTTTTTCCTACACAAAAGGCAGGTGAAAGAGTTTCAGTTTCCTCTGTCTAGTGAGCATTTGCAATGGAAATCAGTTTCTTTCATGGCCTTTGCGTAGAGGTTGACATTTGACAAGATATATGTCCTGGGATTAACTTTCCGAGGAAGTTAATCTTCCTGGGAAAAAAATACTGAAAGAAATTAGAAAGAATTTTTTTCAGTTAGAGGACAGACAGTGGTGTTATATTACAGAGTATACAACTGTACTGGCTAACGTTTTCCAGCTAAACAGATAAACAAATCGCAGTTCTAAGGTCCCTACACAGGCTCAGAGAACTTCTGTTATTTCATAAATCACTAAATGGCTTACCACCAAATTACATTTAAGACCTGTAGTTGTTGTATCCACTTTCCAGACCTCTCAGATCTTCTGGTTTTAGTCTGGTCTGCTTCCCCAGAACCAGAACTAAACATGGAGAAGCAGCATTTCGTTTTGTATGCTCCTCTAATCTGAAACAAACTTTCAGAAAACTGCAAAACGGCCGAAACATTGAGCTCCTTTAAATCAAAGCTAGCCCGCCACCTGTTTAGAGATACCTTAAATTCATAATAACTCAAATATCATTATATTTGGTGTATAATTTATGATGGTTATTTTTGATGTTTTTGATAATGGCATTTGCCAAAATGTAATTGCTTGTTTCATGACTGGTTGCTGTGTGATGTTTATATTGTGTAAAGTACTTTTCCTACGACTAGTTAATGAAAACCTGGAGATCAAAACCACATTCATAATTGCCAAATTAACCAGACTTTCTCCATTCAGATTTGCATATTGAAATATTACATACTGAACAACAACTTTACTAGATTTGAAAGAACAATAAAAAAAACTGTAGTTCCTGTCTATGGTTATTACATTTTATCTTTATTTGAACCAAAAATTAATCAGGCCAATGTTTGTGATTATTTTGATAGAATACTGTAAACACTTTAATGGTTGTAAAAATACATAGCAACATAAATGACTGATTAAACTCATAGTGCCCTCAGTTTTTCCTTTTAGTAACTGTCATAAATGTTGCTTTCCCCCTGAAGTTTAAGGAAACAACTCAACATAAATCGGTAACATACGAGCTGCAGTAGTGTATATTGGAAATTATGAATATTAGAAGAGTTACGCTTTTAACTCCCAGCTGCTTCCTGTTCAGCACAAAAGTGTACAGTAGTACTTCTAGGAAACTAATGAAAAAAAAAACAAAACACCAGAGTTGTCCAAAAATGTAAAAGATGAGAAAAGAGGTGAAGCTGAGCATTAGTTAGACCTTATGTGATGTTATAATATTTGAATACAATATTTGAAATCTGGCTTATCATCATTTTCAAAAGGATAATGCCAGTAGTTAAATAGTTTAATGACAACATATTTCAATAAGATATACTTCACATACTACCCACCTGCTTTGTTTGTGCACATATCAAACAAGCTGAAGTAAAACACAATGAGTATTTGTCATTTTGTGTTGGATAATGAAGCAAAAGTGAGAACTACAGAAATGATGAACATTTCATGCATGTTCCTGGTGTTCTTTTTTGGATAAGAGCTTAATTCGCTTATGTTTAACCATTGGGCATCCCATAAGATCATTTTGTTTTACTAAATATTAAAAAAGGGAAACATTCCATGTCAGTTTTCAATGCAGCAGTGAAACAATTAAACTGTTTAACACTGTGCCCCCCACCCCCCAAAAGTAAACCACCTCTGAAAAACATCTGTTATTACTAATGACCACCAGCCTGTCTCAGATATACTTCAAACTTTATTTTTTAGTTTTTGTCCCATTACAAATGAGTTTCAAAATCTGAAAAGTGTGGAATCCATTTCTATTCATTCTCCAACCACCGGATCAATACATTTGTTCAACAACGCATTTATATTTTGTGTGTGGGTCAAAAAGTCTTAGAAGTACCTTAATATCCAACAATGCTTTTAACAGCTGTCGTTGTTGTTTCTCTTAAATGTTTTCTAACAGCTATATTTATACTGTAATTGAATCACACACCCAGGAAAACAAACATATGCTGCACATCACACTTTTCAGATTTAGTTAAGAAAAATGTAAGCCATGTACTTTTTGTTTTTTTTTGCTAGTATGCTTTACTTTGTGTCTATCATATAAAATATCTTTGAAATAATATTTTGCACATTGTAGTTGTAATGTGACTAAAAGTTAAAGGAATATCTATACTTTCAAAAGGTCCTGCATATACCCAAAACATTTAAATGTCTCTGCATTGAAACTAAGCATATTCCTTTCATGCAACCCCTTGTTAATGTCTGCTGAAAGCCTGACATGGGACGGTTCTGCTTTGGAACATGCCTTTTGCCTTCTTCCCATCCATCTCTCACGTAACTCTGCATCATATCGCTGTTGTCAAGACACCGGCTGGGCTATTTTGGGTAATCCCTTTGACACCACTTTCTCCCTCTGTGCCTGGATAAAAGAGTTCAGAGTGCCCCCACTTTTATAACCTCCCCACCTGTTGAGCTATCTGTCTCATTGCTAGCATGCCTGAACACACAGACCTTCAACACTGGTTCTAATAACTGCACTTTAAATCCCCTGAGGTGAAGGACTGTGGAAGATCAACAGTAATGTGTTACTGATACACTTTTTAAGGCAACACAAAAGATTTTTGCTTTACCTATGTGTGTTTATTTAATTTTGGGAGCTTTTCATTGAACATGATATATATTGACTAAGGAAAATCACTGTGACAAACTATTCTTTGCAAGTTTTTCACACACTGCAAAAACACAAAATCTGACCAAGTATTTTGACTGGTTTCAAGTGTAAATAACTTGGTACACGTGGCAATAAGACAAAGCTAACTCAAGAGTAACTTTTTAGCAAGATGCAGTAGCGTGTTTTAGCTTTTTATTTTTTTATCAACGTTAAGGAATTATTAACTTAAAACAAGTTCCTATATCTTGCTAAAAAGTTGGTTGTTAGTTTGGTCTCATTTCAAGTGTCTAAAATATTGGCACTAAAAACTTAAAAACTAAACCAAATATACTTTTTGTGTTTTTGCAATGCAGTATTACCTGATGAAACCCATATGGTTGTGATTTTATTAAATTCAGTAAAAAAAACAACAAAAAAACAACAAAAAAACATCTTGTATATTTGCTGCTATTTATTTAGGATATCAGAATATCCCATAAATTGGACT